AGTTCTTGGCGATATGCCCGTAACGTAGGCACGAGTTACACATGACTGCCTTTGTGATATACGGTTCTACCTTCGTTATGACTGAGTAGATTCTAACGTATTCTGGAAGCTTATTGCTTCGGAATACTACTCCTAGCTTCTCGATCGGTACTCTTTTGCCTGATGCTACGGTCCGCTGTAGTCAGAATACTTCCAAAATTTCCTTGTTTGTTTCGATGTCTTCGATTAGTTCCTCCGGCTGTAATTCCTCTGGGATTCCTGCTATTACTCCTTTGACGGTCACAAAACTCTTCGGAATGAAGGCTCTGAACCGCTTCAGACTCAGGTTTTGACAGTTTACTAGCCTGTTTGCTTCCTTCCATTCACTGAAGAGCACCATCACTTTTGCTCTTCCGATCTTCTTGATGTCCATCACTGCTTTCGCAAATCCGTTTTGTTTCAACATCATCCCCACTGTGATTTTGTTGATTCCGCTCAATCGTACGTTGTTCTCGGTGTCTTCTTGCATCTTCTCCACAATAACCTTGTACGGTCCACTGTCACACTGCTTGAAGTAAAATTTCTCGAACACTCTTTCCGTGTACTTGTCGCCATTTTGTTTTTTAATTGCACTGCCTAGATTGTTTGATCTTGTGTTTTCAATTGCGCCATTTTGTACTATCATCGGTGCCCCACCAGGGGCACCGTCACTTGCACTCATTTTCCTGTTCTAGGGCTTTTATTTTTTGTTCACTGCACTTGTAAATTAATATAGTTTCACTTAGCTTGATAATTAACGTTTAGGATTTGTTTCAGGTTTTCAATTTGGAAAAATTCCGATTTCCTTTCACACTCTTCAAGAAAACATCCGTCACGCGAGAGAGCATCCAAAAATGATGCGTCTTCGGATTGGTGCGATGCGTACTGTTTAAGATTGGGCGATCTTGGATCGATCTTTGAGATCGATTTTCGAATTTTAGGACCGATTCTTTATTTATTAAAAAAAATCGTAAAAATCGATCTTTCTTCGATCTTTTTGATCTTCAAAGAAGCAAACGAATGTAATTTTTGTGCATCGGAAAACTAATTTCCATTCACCCCAAACCTAAATTTAAGGAACATACCCTCAAATTTAATATCAGCATAGTCGCTCCTAATGTTGTATAAAATAGGGCTGAGAATATAAATTTGATATGCAGTATCTTTCATTATTACGCATTATGACAGTTAGGTTGACAACAGGGTTACTTTCATGCAATCTGGATACTTAGCCCATAAATTCGAACACTTTTGAAAGTTTATTATCACTGCCTACTATGTTAAAAAAAGCACGTAAACGTGTTTTAGTATCGATCTGAATCACACATATTAGTTATCTTGCAAAGGAGACGAAATATTTATTTATAATTTAAATATCCGGGTTAACCGACCGTCCAGTATTCAGTGCATTACGGTAGTTCAGCATTATGAAGAAAAGATCGATCCTGCAAAGATCGATTCTTTTGTATCGATTAAATCGATGGATCGATTCTAGTGCCGTAACAAATCGATCTTCTAAGCTCGATCTTATACTAAAGATTGCAAAATCCTAGGTTGTTCCTCTCATATGTCCTGTACGACGCTTATCCGTCCGGTGCTCGAAAGTAAATGATGAAGAAAACGATTTGGCAAGCTTTTTCATTACCGCTGCTTTTCTCCTCCCTTCCATTCATTAAGACGCCATTTTGAAACAAATTACAATATCCAAAATAGCCGAATGTTTGCAAAAATGTGAATAGCACATTGCAAAGTTTTAAGCGAACCGGAGAAGGTCGAATGTTACATTTTTATTTATTTTTATCCTGCTTGGCATGGAACTGGTCCTATGTTAAACGGCATTATGCCAAATGGAGAACAGCCAACTATTTATAACAGCACAGATTTTACGTTGGAGTTGAAAATTCAAATGTGGACTCTGGTGTTATCTCGCAAAGGCAGTTCTAGCCGAGGGGGGGGGGGGGGGGCGACACATCGAAATTGTCGTTTAGCTTCAACTCTATTTACATATGATTTTCTTTTTCAGTGTAGATTTGCAGGATTCCGTTTCCTACCGTTTCCTACTGTTCGCTGGCATCTACTTTTTCGATGCTGCAGTAGATAGAAGTCGATGGCGATAGATACGAAATGATTTTTCATGAAAAGTAGGTGTGTGTGCCAATTCATTTGCTGCTAAGTAAACACAAGCCTACATATGCTTCAAATCAGTGAGCTTGCAGCTCTGAGGTGCCGCGGTCTAGAACAGTATGTTTCTCGGAAAGTGAAAGGATTATATATACCGTAATAAAATTGGCATATTTCATAACGAACCAATACTCGGAAATAATCAATTTTATGAGCAGCATACAAACTTTTGTGTAGTAGGGGAAATTGATGTAATGTCGGCCTAAATGCCCCTAATTTGGGCCCATACATAAATTCAGCAATCATCTAAATGACGCGTTCATCTAGATAAAATTGATAAATAGCAGATTTTTAGGGATGGAACCAACCTTAGAGTCATTTCCCCTATATGTTTAAAAAATGAAATGGTTTAAACTTTCGGGAAATTTCACTCCTATATTCCTATAGAAATGTAATCTAGAACTTTAATTTAAATAGAAACCCTGAGAAAACAAAACTGTTAAAACGTTCATACATAATAATTCAATTCTTCAAGTATTTAGTTTTTAACGCTTGTTACAGCTTGTTTTGCAGAATGGCTTTGCGGGGTGGGATGTACCATATAGAGATACAGGTGTTGTCAATCAGGCTGGTTGGTTTATATAACACACATGTTATCGATAGGAAACCTTCAAAAACTAGAAGGCTGGTGATTCAGTACAGTAATAGATCAAGTGGATGGGAAGAGTTGTGGATTAAAACTTGCATTTTTCCATGAATAGAGCATTTTACGAGACATTTCTGGTTAAATTCATGAATGAACACATAATAGCCTCATGTGCAAAAACAGCGTTTCAAAAGTGTTTAAATTTTCATCGTCCATGGGATTTTAATGATTGTTCAATCTAGTTGTGGGATTTTGAAACAAATTAATTAATACTTCGCATATTCATGTAGATAGCTAGTAGTCAAGTATGTACTCACGCTAATTCTAATGCTACTCTTGTAAATTTTTGAAGTAAACCTGCCGACCCAGAGTACGTGCCGCTACAGTAATAACCGAAGAAATTCATGTTACAGTAAACAAGCCCGGTCAAACCGTGAACGAGGTAGTTTTCACAATACAATACTCCCTGTTCAAATCAAATGAAGAGTCACGTCACCACTACGTGACTTTTCTCACTTCATTAGTGATAATAGTCACTTGGACTCTCGGAATAACCCCCGGGGGGCTGACTGACTTTGACTAGAAAGATGCCGGAGATTTACGACCATTGCATTTCTCATGGTTGAACCCTAAACTAGCAGTGGTTTCATTGGCCGGTACGGTAAGGATTCACATTTTGCTTCGCAGTGGACACTAGCTTCCACAAAGCAATTTCGTAATGCTGAATTCATTTGCTCTTAAAAGTATAGATTCTTAAAATCTGCAATACTAGAGCTTCCTAAATGACCATCATTTGGCGGCACCATCTCTATCTCCGAACGGACCGCTTTAAACTCACAAATCTATAATTCTGGTGTTACGACGTTGAACAATTATCACTTGACCACAGTCTCACCGAAATGTAAATAAACACCTCCGGCTTGCTGCTTCGTCTGCTATGGTTGTTTGTTCAGTGATAGCTCGATCACGAGAAGATTCGATCATGCGAAAGTAGATGGTAGTAGATGCCACAGATGCAAACAGATGGTGTACGGTAAATAAATATATGAAAAATAGGACAGATTCACGCTGAAAATGAGATAATCTGGATATATCGCCCCCTCGGTTCAAGCATAGAGGTCCCGAAGAAACGAGCTCAACGTTATTGTCTCTGTACCAATCCAACGTCGATCGCGCGTAATGGCATGATGCCAGGTCCGGCCAAAATAATGTCTCGCCTCCGTGGGACCGCAGGAAGGGCAACAGACGCTTCTGGAGGCACTTGGTGCGGTAAATTTCGCTGTTGATGGTACCCATTGTGATGTACGGTTTACTCAGTTTACCGCATTGGCATATGGCCTGCCAGAGCAAGTATTTTTTGGCGAAATTGTCCACTTTCTTCTTCCTTATGTCTTCCGGAACATCAAACCGTGATTTGGCAACGTAGAACTCCAGCCCCGGTATCTGTTTTGCGTCTGCCTTGATGTAGGTTTCGTCATCCATAACCACACACATCGGTTTCGTTAACCACTCTCGATACAGCTTCCTTGCGCGGGATTTGGTCGCCGTGTTTTGTTGATCACGCCGGTTCGGTGCCTTCCGGACCTTGAATACACGAAGCACAGCTCGTTTCATGGTTTGCTGAACGAACCAGGCGGAACACTTTGCCTTCATAGCCGCGTCGCGAATCGAAAGGTTCGGATAACGCTTGAAATAATCCAACACCTTCTGGGCCTTCACAGGGTCAGCTGTCTTCGATTTTCTTCCACTTCCAGCCCGCCGTTCGGTCGTCTGGGACTCCTTAAATGATTTTACCACCCGAGACACAGTTGTATGGTTGATTCCCAGTTGTCTTCCGATCCATCTCATGGTCGCAGTCGAATTTTCCATGACGGCGCGCAAAATTCTCCGGCGATTTTCTTCTTGTTTTTATGACATCTCAATAACCACTGAACCGATTGTTATGAAATTTTGCACATGTAAACAATTCACTCCAAACTAGTTATACTTAGATTTTCATCAATTTTTACCCACGGATAAAAATTACACACGGATAAAAATGGTGCATTTTTTTTCGGGTACAAGCCTTAGTGAGCCAATTTAAAATCGTTAGTTTCGTATTGATTGTTGGTTCTAGTGCACCAGTTCTAGTGTTGCTTTTGAGTCCGCCGTCTGTCGCTTTCTGATTAGAAACATGGATAAATGTTTTAATGTAAAATTCGTCCATCCATTCCAGGTTGCCGATATGCAGTCCGAGTCGCGGCAGAGCGTAGCCAGCAACAATTCCAGTTCGGTTTCGACGCCACCATCACCAACCAACGATCGGCTCAGCTCCAGCTACGACTCCTAGTGGTAAGAAAATTGCTCATTCCGAATGGGCAATCAATGGAAGCAAAGCGTTTCATGGGCTCGAATCCTAATTCGAGTCGCATTCAGTTAGTCAGTCATCTCTTCTGTGTTTAGTGTCATGTAAATTTTTAAGTTTACCTACGTGTCGTTTGTATTCACAATCTCTGTTACAAAACAAACAAACAAACAAATACTCGTGGCAAATCATCAATTGCTTTTGATTTTATTTTTCTTATTTATTTTAACATTTTCTTACTTATTTCTAAGAAACGAAATTATCGGATGTTTAGTGCAAAAGCGAGCTTCGAAAACTAATTGATCTCTATGATAATACAAAAGAAAAACTGAAATTCTTACTGAAATTCTCCTATGACAAATACTATTTATGAAACGGTTGTGTTACTTTGAAAACGGACACAATCAAGGTCCTCATCTGCAATAACTCTTAAACTACTACTACCTACTACTCTTATTATAACTACTAAAAAAAAACATGGAAATCAAATTATGCCATTTGTGGAGGCGTACATCTACTAAACTCATCGTAGCAAAAGGATCGTTGTGCAATATCAATAAGTAGGCAAGCGAGTGGAGATGGAGGCGTTATCAGCTCGATCATTCGAACTGTATAGCGCGTCCCGGAAGAAGAAGGAAGTCATTTCATAATTCACTAGTAGAATAGAGTAACAGTTCCCGTTTTAGATGCATTTCCTAACGCAAAAGCAACTGACTTTTAACCACTTCAAGCTACAACAGAAAGAAACATAATCAACTGAGTAAAACCTAAAACAACGAGTTCGTAAACAACAATTACACAAAACACAAACTAAGAGGAGAAATCCGGTATGTCTTTAATCCAGTCCTTTTTCTTATTGCTGCTCGTAAATTGTAAACTACAAAAGTCATCTAGCATATAGAAGATCTATTGATTGCAAGAACCTCCCGTAGTTGATCATGTCGTCCATTGACAAAAAATTAAAACAAATCTTCGAATGAATAAAAAAATAACCCGTCGAACTGGTAGACGGTCGAAGTGTTCAATACGATTTTAATGATTCCGTTCTTATACATTTGCTTGCAATTGGTTTCTCAAATGGCTACTTAATATTCTTGCATTTGCACGTACCATCTTTTACCAGTTCGACACGTTGTATCATTCGAAATGTTTTGTTCCCAATCCCATTGTAAATTGTTCATCCCATATTGAAAGCTTATCGTCCGTACTAGCACTCATGTTTGTATCGTTCATCCGTTCGCATTAACCGTTAAGCAAATGGAAATCATCAGCAGTCAATATTTGAGAAAAGAGAAGCAAAGAAAACCGGAATCAAATTTACTACTACCTTCAGACACAAAAATCAACTCTCGTAAGTAATTAAGGAACAAACGGTTCGATTAAGCAGGTTTAGCCATTCGACTTCTTGACAGTAGGAGCAGGAGCCATGTGAAGATGAGAACGAAAATATCGTTGAAAAGATAAAACTGAAGACAATATTTAGTATTTCCGATGCAGATTTACTGTATTTGTTAATATTATATACACGGAAGAAAAAGATAAAAAAAGAAGCGTAGAAAATATAAAACTATTTGAAATGCTACTGAAACCATGTAAAAAGAAAAAGAAAATACAGTAAGTAATTATTTTCAATTTAATTAACTCTGCGTTGTATAAAGAAAGCACACATTTTACCAATGTAAAAACAACTCACTCAGACATACTGATTTAAGCTAATTTCAACTAAGACGTAACTTATTTGATCTGGAAGGAGAAACCCCGATTCGTTCCGATCCGAACGAACCAACATTCTTGTCTTCACCGGGTTCGTTCGCATCGACATTTATTTATTTACACCAAGAAAGCTCTAATTATAATTTATTTTACTAGCAAATGATTTTGTTGTTGTTTTAAACTTGATTCTAAACCAATTTGTTTATTCATATTTTAATGGTTCTGTTTCGTGGATCGCTGCATTTCCGTTTTAAACTACTTTTTACAACTGCTGCTATTAGCAAAGCTACCACCACCACCACCACCACCTTGAGATCATTGAATAAGAGAGAGAGAGAGAGAGTGACATTTCACTAAAATATGACATGTTACAATAAAAGAAGATACATTTCGCGGAGCGGAGGTGCACGCGTGCAATTAATTGAAGAGCAGACAAATTGCGACCCGCTGTAGAAGACGTGGCAGATATAAGAACACAACAACAACAACGTGGAAAACATATACTTCACTAAGGATAAGGTTAGCAGTATATATAGAATATACCGAAAAGTCTAGTGTTTTATAAAATTATATTAATTGTAAAATTACCACGACAAAATATATTAATATTATACAAGTACTAAAAACAGAAAAATCAAATGTTACAAATGTTTTGGAATGCATCTTAATCGAGTGAATATCACTGCCAGAAATATGGTTCGAAACGAGGGGTTTACATAAGCAGTGGCATCGCGTCCACATATTTTTTTTCCCTTGATTTGTTTTCCGTCGATCTTGTTTTCCGTGCTGAGCACCAATGCTACCGACGCCAGGAAGGCAGCTCCCACACCTGGACCCTACCTATCGACCCATCAACTCATAGACCGGGGACCAACGGCTTTACTTCCCTTCCAAAGGAAGGCGTGATCAGAGATGTTATGCCTCAGAACATCCCGGCGGCGCCGACTGGGATTGAACCCAGGCCTGCTGGGGTGAGTGGTAATCACGCTTACCACTACACATTTAGATTTAATAGATTTCCTGGTCACATTATAGGGAAGTTCTCGGATCCGAAAAATAATACTTAAGTTTTGATTTTTATAAAAATATTGGAAAAAATATCAAAAATATAAAACAATCACTTTTTTCTATTTAAAAAAAATCACACGCAAAAACATTTTTTGTAACTCACTATGACTCAAAAAACCATAGAACGGTGACCTGTCGGTTCGGCTGAGTGAGTGTTCAATTTATTTATTTATTTATTTATTGTCGTCAATCATATGTAGACAATTTTTTACAAGTTACAAGTCCTATGTAAAAATTATGAATATAATTTGATTATGACTGCTTACAATAAACATAGTGAAACTATTGATTTTATAATGACAAAAACCAGTTTAAAGCAGTATTGTAATATTAATAGTGGACCGAATTTGGCATAATTTGTGCGATAGTGATTTGTAGTATATATATTTCGAGTTCGCAGTTGCCGAGAAGGTATGTAAAAATTAAGCTTTGCTAACAGTTCTACTAACCGGTGATGCCGGATGCCGGATCATCCTAAGAAGGATGATTAAATTCAGTTCCGACGGTTTGCCTAATGTATTGATTTCTAAACGTGTCGATATCACTACCATGACAAAACTCGTTAAATAGTGCACCTAAAAGCGAGCTTACTTAGTGGTGGGTGGCATCGTTTGTTAATCGTCATTTGCCGGATTTAAGCTAAGTGATCACCTGGAGATCAAATTAAATCATGCTTGAAACATACCAAAAATTTTCCACAATACATGCTGCTTAATTGAAAGCAAACACGCGCTCAAAAACAACTATTGTACCATTCACACGAAGGAAAAAATGTTCATAAACAATATTCAACCGAAAAATATAACTTTAGAACTTTCAACACACAGTCAAATATCTGGGGGAATCTCAATACTCTTTGGATAAGTAAAAAAAAACTCTTGGTAGGAAATAGGGACTAAAACCTAAAATGCCTAAACATAACCTGTGCATCATTGGCCTAAAACCAATGACCAAAGACTAACTACTAAGTATGGTTCTAGATGCTCTACATTATCTGCTTCCGTTGCATCAATTTTTTCATAGCACTTCCTTGAAGGTGATCTTAGAGGACATATGAACATCCTAAAAATGTTCAATATTGCGATTTGTGGGAAAATGGGGGACCAAACATTCGTCCATGATCAATTTTCTTTTATACATACGGCTCTAGATTGAACAATCGTGTGGGAGCAGGGGTAACAGGTCCAGGAATAAATATCTGAATATCTACCGTGTTCCAAGCAGAAGTCCAAGGAATTCTTGAATGCACTAAAATTTGCTTACGTAGAAATTATAGCCATTCGAATATCTGCATTGTGTCTAATAGCCAAGCAGCACTGAATGCTTTGAAATCAGCAACATGTAATTCTATGGGAATGTGCAATGCACATTGGTCCAGAATGCAGATTTAGGTGGAATGATATGTTTTGAGAATGAAATTGAAACTTTAGACTAAAAATCTCTTCTACAAAGTTGTTCCTTATAGTTAGGCCCTCATTTTTATGACAATGAATTCTAGGGTGGTTCCTATTATCATTAAAATCAAAAATCTAAATTATTTGTTTGAATAAATTAAGGTATACATTCTTCGGCAAAGTTATAGCTGAGCTAATCTCAAGCAACTTTGTTCAAAATAACTTTTTTTTCTCTTAAATTGGCCGATTTAGAGCTATTTTCTTGAATTGAGTAAGGGTGGCTCTTAAAAAAACAGTTGTTTTGCTCTAGTTTTCTTATTTCGAATTTCTCAGCAAAGGTGTCTTCAAATAACTTTTAGATCTTAAGAAGGCGCAAATTTTTCCTGCACAAAGCTTGTCAATATCTTTCGCCGATCAAGAGCTATTGACGTTTTTATACTAAAAATATGCACTTGTCAAATGTTAATATCTTTGGTTGGGGCAAACAAAAAAAAGTTATTTACGGCATTTGAAAGGGTTTATGTTATTCTCAATAATATGGAAAAATTGGAGGTATGTTATTTTTTAAACTCGTATAAAATCAATTTGAAATTATTCATATTTTTTACTATATTTGGGAATATCTTTTTTATTAGAACAGATACAGGCAACAAATCAAGCTATAAAACATTCGTCTTTAAGAGTTTTAAAAGTCTCTAGAAGATGACTTTCATGATAAATTTCAAATTCCAAAAATTTATTGTCATAAAAGTGAGGGCCTAACCATAAGGAACAACTTTGTAGAAGAGACTTTTAGTCTAAAGTTTCAATTTCAGGATCAAAACATATCATTCCACCTAAATCTGCATTCAGGACCACTGTGCAATGTCACTCCAAAAATTAGCCTGCCCACTCAAAGATAAATTAAACCAAAAAAGCTTAAAAAGTATGCAGATTCCTGCTTCACCTTATTGAGTCCGAGCCATGATTGCTTCGGCAGTAATCATGCATGATTAAAATCGAAATAATCTTTCCAGTATTAAATTTTATTCTTTTTCAATACTGATATATAATCAATAAATATTAAAATTCAAACAAAAAACATTAAAATAGAATCAGAAATGATTAAAATTTATTCAAAAAAAGATAATCAACAATCTAATCAACCATGATTAAACTGGGACTAATATCAGATGCTTATTTTTTAGAAAGAGAGGATTAATTTTTAATCATTCGATATGATTGAACTGAGTTTAATGTCAAATTGATTAAATTTCAAGCAAAATGGGAATAGTTCAATTTATCAGTGCCAAAAGTGAACCTATTTTGGGTACCTGGTCACTGTGGAATTCAAGGGAATGAGAAAGCCGACACACGAGCTAGGCTTGGATCTTCTCAACAATTTATAGAACCAGAACCATTCTGTGGAGTTTTTGCTTGATCTCTTAGAATGGAGTTCAAGAAATGGAAGTTTAATAACAGGACACTGTCCATGTAAATATCACTTGAAGCTAATATGAAAACTTCAAGATGACATGTGTCCATTATGTGGCATAGAAAAAGAAGACTCTGAACACCTTCTATGCTCTTATGCAGCTATCTTCGATAAGGGGCGTATTTTTCTGGATAAGGGGCTGACAGAACCCTTTGATATTTGGAATTCAGTTCCCAGCCAAGTAGTGCAATTCGACAGTGAGCATGCATAAGGGCGTATACGCGATGATCGATTCTCTTTATCGATTTTCTCATTGCATTACAATAGCTAAGCGAAACAATTTTCTAGAATTTGTTTAATGCAGAGTTGTAACAGGTTGTATTGGTTGTATCAAAAGCAACAGCAAACGCACCGAGAAACGTTAAATTTAGCGAGTTATTAACAAAAGAGAAAATCGATGAAGAAAATCGATCATCGCGTATACGCCCTTATGCATGCTCCCTGTCGATTTGTTCAATGCAGAGTTATAACAACAATCAATACGAAACTAACGATTTTAAATTGGCTCACCACTTTAGTAGCCTATTAGTCCCAAGCAAACGATTAGCGTACCCTATTCTAGTTGAAATTCTATTACTACACTATGTTTGTTTTGATTCGCTATGAAAGATTGACAGATAACATCAGGGGTGTGTGGATTCATGCAGAACATGCAGGGGTGAGTGAAATAGCTTCCCAAGTAACATTGCTAGTTTTATGGAGGTTTTAAAGCATGCTACAAGTCTAAATCATGGTCTACAGAACCCTTATAAAACCGAAATTGTTACTTGGGTTGGGACTGCTTGGGACCGTTGTTCTGGTACTGAGTGAGCCAAAAATAATAATGATTTTCTTCGGGACCCAGTGGTCTTAGAGTTACCTCTATGGTTATAATAGGTTGAATTGGCTAGCAACAGCAAACGCGTCGAGAAACGTTAGTTCTAGCGAGTTATTAACAAAAGAGAAAATCGACGAAGAGAATCGAACATCGCGTTTACGCCCTTATGTATGCTCACTGTCGAATTCATTCGAAATTAAATACCTGACTGGGAAAATGCTTTCGGTCAGGCTATGTCGGTCGCTTCACAAAATGGTGATACGACATACTGATAAACTGTAACGCACCCTATGTATCTTTGTTTTCGACAATTGAAAAGATAATTTTTGAATATAATCTCAAATAACCACCCTAATTTTTATAATGACCACGGAGGGGACTTTTTGAGCAAAAATAAAACCACCCGTCTGAATTTTAAAACAAATGCACTAGGGGATATGTCTTGCTAAATTCCAATAAACTGTTCATGTGCAAATTCCACTGTGCATGGGAATGAGAGAGTTAAAGTGTTAAAGCATTGCATTATTAAATGTTAACACTAGAGAGCAAATATGCTTATCCATTGCACGCAGGACCCTTGTTTAGAATTGTTTCAATAATGCTATGTTCAGACTGAGCAGTTATAACACAGTTATCATATGTTCTAAGGCTTATGCCATCTTAATGACATTCCCAAAATTATTACAACATGTTACCAAGATATGTTAGCGGCCATGTTAGCAAGACCATGCTGGGGGTTGCTGGGTTCGATTCGCGGTCCGGTCTGGGGTATTTTCGGGTTGGAAAATTTCCCTGAGCTTAGAGTATGATTGTACTTGCCACACAATTATACCACAAACGAAGTGACAGACGGAGCGGCTCGAAAACTTTGGTGACTAACCTGCTATTGCAATTTTTCAGTGTACCACATGGCAACACCACTACTACCAACAATCAATACGAAACTAACGATTTTAAATTGGCTCACCACTTTAGTAGCCTATTGGCAAATCAAAGTTGGCACTCGTGGAGAATAGAAGAACTATGAGAGTGATGATGGTTTCAAAATTTTACACGGTGAGGTATACGAGTGCAATCTTAAAAAGCTTTTATTTTGCAAATGGAACATTTTATTTAAATCTGGTTGATGCTATGTTAGTAGAAAACTTAAGGACTACTCAATAGACAAATAATACAGAAAAAATAATTTCTTTTCAGATTTTCAGATGTACACATAGATTTGAGCTTTTCTACCACTGTAGCAGCAACCAGATTTAAATAAAATGTTCCATTTGCAAAATAAAAGCATTTTAAGATTGCATTCGTATACTTCCCCGTGGAAAATTTTGAAACCATCATCACTGTTATAGTTCTTCTATTCTCCACGAGTGCCAACTTTGATTTGCCAATTGGTCCCAAGCAAACGATTAACGTACCCTATTCTAGTTGAAATTCTATTACTACACTATGTTTGTTTTGATTCGCTATGAAAGTTTGACAGATAACATCAGGGGTGTGTGGATACATGCAGAACATGCAGGGGTGAGTGAAATAGCTTGGGACTGCTTGGGACCGTTGTTCTGGTACTGAGTGAGCCAAAAATAATAATGATTTTCTTCGGGACCCAGTGGTCTTAGAGTTACCTCTATGATATTACATTCAAACGTTCCGCTGGTTGTGTAATATTACCATAGAGGTAACTCTAAGACTAGAAGGTCCCGAAATAACGTGCTCAACTTTTTGGCTTAGCTCTGGTACTCTCTTTGGTCCCAAGCTAATCGATTCACCCCTCGAAACATAGGAAAAACCAATAACCCCTCATTTTATCTGTCAAACTTTCATAGCGAATCAAAACAAACGTTGCGTAGTACTAGAATTTCGACTAGAATGGGATACGTTAATTGTTTTCTTGGGACCAATAGGCTAGTCAAGTAGTTAGCCAATTTAAAATCGTTAGTTTCGTATTGATTGTTGATATTACGTTGTACCATTTAGGTAACTCTAAGACTAGAAGGTCCCGAAGAAACGTGCTCAAGTTTTTGGCTCAGCTCTGGTTCTATCTTCGGCCCCAAGCTAATCGATGCACCCCTCAAAACATTGGAAAATCTACGCACCCCTCATTTTATCAGTCAAACTTTCATAACGAATCAAAACAAACATAGTGTAGTACTGGAATTTCAACTAGAATGGGGTACGTTAATCGATTTGCTTGGGACCAATAGGCTAGTCAAGTAGTGAGCCAATTTAAAATCGTTAGTTTCCACCGGTTGGTTGTACGATGTACATCGAATTTTGCGAACAAAAATACATGTAATATTGTATCTGCTTTCTGCTATTACATCATTATTTCATACATCAGCTTGAATTACGTTGATCGATTTTACATTTTTTTTTGCTGTGTGCATCTATAAAACTAAGTTAAGAGCTCGGTTAAGAGCACGCAATTAGCTACTATAGAGATGTTCATGTCCGGTGCGGTATGTGAGAGCGTGTAAGGAAAATACATAACACATCGCTGTCAAGCTCATTTTGACAGAAATAAGTTCATATATTTTTTAGGATAGCCAGAGGAAAATAATAAACAACTTTACATGGCGATGCGCCCGCTTGTGTGCGTACGTTAAACGTCTCTAATCTCTATGCGATTAGCAATAAGATTCAAATGCGAAGAATAAAAATGTTACCAAGGTTCCGCCAGTTCCCTTAAATTTGGATAATAAAACATAAGGATCATCATTATCAAAGGTCGAGAAATATTGTAGTTCCAATCACTGATATTTTTTAAACGAGTCGTTGATTGAGTTAATTTTCCAGATCGTATTTTAAAAAATACTGTTTTTAGAGTACTTTTTGACGTAGGACTACGTCTTTAATTTCTATACTGGGGTACACTTTGTGAAAACTAAAAATGGAACATGAATCAAAATTATGAAAGATTTTGAGCATTGATAACTCAGCTGTCCCTGGATCAATTTCAATAATTTTATCACCAATCGATCAGAAATATGTATGATTTTCAATAAGAAACTATTGAAAAAGTGATAATGTCAAGCATTATCCAAAGTACAAAGAAAAAGTGATAATTTTTTCACTGTTTTCATGAAATGAACGTTGTTCCCAAACGCAGTCGTCATAATCAAGTACCACTTGGTTGCACATCATTCTGCTTTAACCTGAAAAGATACAAAACAACGCTGCTGTCTAGCCTCAACTCATAAAACAAACCCATCCCACCAAGGTGCTCATACTCTAATAACAGGCCTGACAGGACTAGGAACTGTAAATAATAATTAAAATTTCAAATGTACTAAAGTTGAAAAGACGCATCTGTGTCAGGCAGCAGAAGTAGCAAAAGCAGTCGTCTGGCTCGCCGTGGTGGTGTAAAACGTGTCTCCGGTCTGATCGATGTAGTCTACGCTTTGAAGCGACAGACGAACTCTGTACAGTTTCGGAGGTTAAATCATCACCAACTTTAGCAAACAAAACGGCTCTTTTCTGGGCCAACAAGCTTATTACAGTAAAAAGTTAGAATAGAATGTATCTGCCTGTTGGTCCATATTCAGAACTACATGCCCCCAACGACCACACAAAATGCTCTCCAGAATAGTTGTAATCTTGTAACCAAACTTGGAAGCAGGGGTGCAAGTGATTTTGATCGATTCTCTTCATCAACTTTCTCTATGAAAAAAAAAATACTACAAATTTGGTGGAGTTCCTTTACTAAATTTTCTTCACATTTGTTCCGTGCCCTAGCGGTCCTACGTCAAGCTCCCGTTCGTGCCTCTAGGCACAGACGCTTCTACTTTTTTTAACTACTCAACGGATGTAGATCGGTAGATCTGCCGGTTAGACAGTTCGTCACCATCCATGCCACGACTAGGGGCACGCAATAACCTTAAACTCCAACGCAGGCAATGGCTGTAATTAAATTAATTCTATTAACTACTGCTTTAATTACATTAGTTGCACAATGTAGAACATTAACTACTTTTTAACTCCGTTAATTACAGTTGAAATTTCATACTTAAAGTACGTTAATTACATTTTCAATACTTTCAATTACATTAATTACGGATAGATAATTTTAATTACCGTCAGTACTACTTCAAAACGCATTAATTACTTTAAGTACTTTTGATTGCATTTTAACTTCAACGCACCGGTTCTTTGTATTGCGTGCCCCACGTGCCACGAGCAACGGGTTATTGAAGTCATTGTTGCGCCCTAATCTCAAATCAGTCCGGAAATGTCAAACCTAAGCCAACATACCTTTAAAACACCATCATCAAGTCTGTCAATAATTGACAATGTACGCCATTTAAAAGTATTTTCAAACACTGTCAATTATTGACAGTGTTTGAAAATACTTTTAAATGGCGTACAGTTGCTTGAAAGAGGTTTTGGTGAGAAAATCATGAATCAACTGTACCTGTATTGGTATACTACTGTATATTGTTGTGTTTAACCAGGGTTCCTGCTCTGCTTTTCATCGGCGACAACTGCAGCCTGTCAGTAGTTGACAGACCCGAACCCGACCAGATCGATCTCACAGCAGATCAAATTCAGAGCGCTGCTGGAGCAGTCAGAAAAAGTTGATTCGTGGATAGCCGCGTAGTTCGAAGCAAAATCAAATCACTCGTGAACGGGTGCAAAAACAAGCACGTCTATCAATAATCGGTCTACTGTGTTTACGAATTTATAGCAAGCAGATAGACGGGGCAAATTGCAGCCAAGGAAAACGTCCGCGAGAGTGATAATTTTAGAGGAGCTTCTCCGTAAAGTTAAAACCGATTGGTGAACCGAAACAACACGCCTCTGCCTTCTGGCTATTTTCGGACTGCGAGTGCAAAGTGCCGTATCTTTCACTTGACGTTGTCTGCCCGGAAAAACGTGGGATTCCACTAGTAGTGAATAAAAAAGAAAACACGAAGAAAAACTCGCCGCTAGCTGCGTCTGTGTCAGTGAAATTTACTTAAAAAATACACTTGGATTTCTGTCGGTTCATTTAGCGAAATAATATCTTGTTAATGTGCTAGGAAGTTTTTCCGAATGAAGATGTCCAGGTTTATGCTAGCAAAAAGATGTGTTGAAGCAGTAGCGGCCTTCGGTGGTTCTAGCTGCGGAAGTAGAACGGCCCTGATTGCACAATACACTCGATCACTGTCGACTCAAGCTGGAAAAGTGCATCAGACGACTGGAGGGGTCGACCAGCATCCAGTGGATCCGGAAGCGGTTCACGCCGACCTTCATCAACGATTGACAAAATTGTTCGAGGAGGAATCTAAACGGGAATTGATTGTTCCACCATTCAAACGGGCTCTGGTTTACGGCGAAAAATCGGCCGTACGGGACCACACCGGCGACTATAGTTTTATCCAGATCTACGAGGCTGTCAAGCGATTGGCTTTGCAAATTTCCAACTGCTGTGGTAAGTACTAGACCTTGCAATTCTCATATAACTTACTCTACAATACAATACAATGTACCCACTTGATCGATGATGCAATTCATATGCAAGACCAAAAGTAAACATAGTTCAAGGACGTTCAGCGGAAAGCCTGTGGTGTGGAGCTGTCAAAAGTGCCACGAATTTTGAGTTGTAAGAGGTATTCGTTTCTGACTCAGAGGCGCCTGTTGTATGGGAATTGTATTGTTTTGCTAATTGGTCTCCCAAATATTATTTCGCTAATGTGCTGCGAAGTAGAATGAACCCATGACGTAGGTGACGTATTACCGGACTGCTTACGAACGAGAAAGACATTTTATTGTAGCGATTTTATTTTGTATTTACGTGAACCGAGCAATGCGTACTAGCTTTGCTATTTTTTGCACCTTGTCACAAGGGGCTGATGGATGTGTCGTCGCTGAGGCTAAAATTAGCATGATTTGTTTATCGCGAACATGTTTACAAGCATTTTTCTATCCTACTAAACAACATTTAATCTAATGAATCGTTCGCTGCATCTAGAAAACTAGATCAAAGAGCATACAGAGTAGGGTGGGTCATCATGGCCATTTTTTTTCAGAACAATGTTTTTTTTTGGTTCCATTTGGGGTCCCAAACAACTGTGCAAAATTTGGGGACGATTGGTTGTAGCCCGGATTGCGATTGAAATTTGTATGGAAATTAGTATGGGAAAATCTAGTTTTTTTTTTTCCTTTTTTTACATTCGTAGGGACGACAACTTTGCTTTAACCACGGAACTAATAATCTAAAAGTATAGTCCGAGAAATTCCTAACAACTTTGCCTAAGGATGTACGGTGCAATAATATCGCTGAAAAAGGTTATAGCTATTCAAAAATCGATGTTACTAATTAAATTCCAAAAATCACTTTTCCTGCCAACACTGCCGGTGTACCAAGAAAGTTATATTTCCAAACTTACTTTGAGAGATTACTTTAGGAAATCTGAAGAAACTATCTGGAGGAGCCGGTTTCTTCCGAAGGAAGCTGGCAGAAACTTCCATTTAAAACAGAAGTAGAAAGTCAGAAGAACTTCTAGGGTAGTTAGAGTTAGAATAAATTTCCAGGATAAATCGGATGATACGTCTGGCGCATGCTTGGCATGCACAGTTATACACACCAACTGCTCATTTGTTAATAATTTTTCACTCAGTTGTTGTTTTTTTCTTCTTCTTTAAAGTAATTGATAGATTAGGATCAGACTTTACTATAGATACTATATAATTAAAATCTTTTTTTACGGATCTACAACAAGCTTAAACTCTATTCTATCTACTGTTTCAAAAAGAATTATATTTCGTCAACTGTGTGCAAAGTTATTAGCAAATGAGCGTGACCAAAACAGTGTATGCCAAGCATGGTCTGGGGAAAGTCAGATGAAACATTTCGGGGAAAATTGTTTAAAAAACTTCCTTGAGAAACCTCCGGCCCAACTGACATACATTTCCAGGATGAATTAGAAAATAATAATCTGGGAACATTCAAAAGGAATTCCCAGGGGGAGTTGGAAGACACCTACTACTTTTGGGGGAGAAAACATTTCCGGGCAAGTTGGAAAACTCTTCCGGAGGATGTTTGAAGAAACATCCGGTTAAATCAGAAGAATCTTTTCGAAGAAACAAAAAAGTCTATTAGAAGAAACTATCTTAGAAAGAAGGAAGAGGGAAGATTCAAAAAACTTTTGGTCAAAACCAAGCAATACATTTTTAGATTACAACTGTATAATTCTTCATTAATCGTTCGACAGAAGTTAAAAATGAACATTCTAACACTCTGAATAAAACTATTTCCCGATTTTCGGATAGCCAAAAATGGCAGCAAAATCGAAACACTACACTGGATTGAATACAAACCTACATATTAGCTATAATCCTGATGCGGCTTTAATAGCAAATCTTTAGGGAGCCTCGTCTCTGAGGTTAATGGATGTATGTTGCGGACACCTCTAGTTTATTTTAATCGTAGTTCAAAATAATTTCTAGTATATATCTAGAGGCCAGCAATCTCATGGTGGTTCAAAATATAAAATCGTTCAATAGCAACTGTTATTCTGAGTACACGGCGTAGAAAGCGACTTAATTTTTTTTTATCATTTATCAATTGCAGAGAATGTGATAAGCAAAGCATCCCAACAAATCCCTAAAACATAACGGTGTTATCTATCCGAAACCTCTTGAAGTCAGACCTGTGAGTCGTTTTCATTCACACCCCTCTCCTTTACAGTGCCTTTATCTAACACGAAAACAAGCAATTCACCAACAGGATCAAAAGCTGTATCCGGAAAATCGATGTGGCAGCCAGTCATGTTCCAATCAGGGCTGGCAAATGTCATTTTCAATGAAAGATTTCACGCGATATTTACAGAGATACTTATGTTACTATCATCGGATGAGAAAACGATGATAGAGATTTTCTTCAAAATCTCATCGAATTTTTTGTCATGACAGAACGTGACAGTGTTGGGATCATCGTAATTACTAGCTAATTTATTGCTATGAAAGTTACTTGTACCGAGGAAATCTTATTAATATTTTCACCCATTACATACGGTTGCTTTCTTAAATTAATCAAATCAGTTAGAAATGTTGATGTCAAAACCGCATAAGAATTATTCTCATGATTGGTTGATAATTGAAAATTGACAAAATAGGTATTCATTATTTCATTCATTCTTTTAATTTTAATTTTTTAGTGGACACCCGTTAGACGCTCACATTCATCAGGATTCGGGATTTTTCAATTAAATATTTTACCTTGCCAGAACCATACTTTGCGGGGGTCCTAATGATTGCAAACTCATATATTTTTCATTGTATCTCGATGTTGATGAGATGCATTCAATAAGTTTTCCACCATTGCGCTAAAAATCTTGTTCATAAAGTAATTAAAACAAAATAAAAATAAGTTTGTCGTAAAAAAAATCGAATTACGAACAAACAGCACGGCGTTTTAAAAAGTCGCTTAACTACTTCTAATCTTCTTGAATGTGTAACCTTCATTATTAACGCAATGGACAATGGCAAGCACGTAGAAGCTTTTTATACATTTTTGTGGTAGATCTACCGCCGATTCCTAGTCCTGACTAAAGGGTGTACCGTTTAAAATCCGCACACACTCAAATTGCTCTAACTTTTGATCCGTTGGGTAAAATTTATTGAAATTTTGCGTAGACATAGTTTAATGTGTATTGTTTACACTCTTAAGTTGATTTCATAAGGTGCGCAAATGTTTTCAAAATGGCGACGACAGAACAGTGCGCGCGCGAAAAAGTTTTGCACGAGTACTTTGAGAATAGGGATCTGCCGCATCGTGCCATCGGAAAAAGTTGGGAATCGTGAATTCCACGGTGTCTGGTATCATTAAACGGTTTGAAGAACGTCCGACTGTTGACCGGAAGCGAAGATCCTGAACAAAACAGCCGTCGGGTCAACGAGAACGATCACAAACGCGTGGTTGGGGCCTTTAAACGGAAACCGAACGCCTCAGTTCGAGATGTGGCTAAAAAGTTGCATGTGAGCAAGTCTTTCGTGCTTATTTTATAGTTTATCAAAACTCGAACTGGACTACGTACGTTTAAGGTTCAGAAGTTCCCAAACCGTGACGAGTAACAGAATACGGTCGCAAAATGCCTTGCCCGGAAGTTGTACGACCAGAAGTTGATGAAACCACACTGCTGCGTAATAAATGACGAGACATATGTGAAGGCGGACTTCAACCAGATTCCAGGAAACCTGTATTAGACTGCCAAGGATAAGTGTGATGTTCCCGAGAACCTCCGGACACAGAAGATGTCGAAGTTTGCCAAGAAGTTCTTAATTTGGCAAGCGATTTTTACTTGTGGAAAGCGGAGTATACCTTTCGTTACTTCAACCACCATGAATAGACAGGTGTATTTGGAAGAGTGTCTCCAAAACGCGCTCATCCCTCTCCGGAAGGCTCACGACGGTCCGACGATCTTCTGGTCGGAATTGGCATCCTGCCACTACACGAAGGACGTGCTAGAGTGGTATAAGGCGAATGATGTCGATTTCGTGCCGAAAGATCTTAATACCCCGGACAGACTATGACTTATATCATGTAATATAGGCTGTCTTGCAATGAGCACTCATGCATCTAGTTTTCACTGGAAATCCTATGTATGAGTGCTCATTGCAAGACAGTCTATATTACATGATATAAGCCATAGTCTGTCCAGGGTATAACCCCCCAAACACTCCGGAACTGCGCCCAAAAGAAAAATACTGGGCCATTATGAAGGAGCACCTTCTAAATCGACTTAAAGTAGTGAAGAATGTAGAAGAAATGAAGAAAGCATGGGTTAATATGCAAAAAAACTGTATATTCTGAGGTCGTGCAGAACCTTATAGCTGGGGTTAAGACCAAGGTTCGCACATTCGAATATAAAGGCGAAATACCCATTTTGGTTACCTCGAGAGTGCCCCAGGGTTCTCATTTAGGTCCAATTCTTTTTTATTGTGCACGTAAAAGACATTTCCTACACACTTAGAAAAAAATCATGTAAATTTAGGTGCTCTGAGAGTGACATATACGAGCGTCAACTTTGACACAAATTTGAGTCATAACAGACGCGAAATATAGCTCAATCAAACGTACTTTTCGTCGAGCAACGAAATTTTCAGTCTCGGAGCACTTAATATTACATGACATGTTTGTTTACGTCTCATCTTTTATGTCAAAGATGGATTCTGTCACGTGTAAAATTAGTTATTTCTAAGTGTGTACATACATTAAAAAAAGTGCTTATACTAGGTGGGGTGAAAAGTAACCTCCTTGACCGCCAGAATGCGCTGCTACTGCAAAAAAGGTTATGGTGCCTTGTAGTCCGTTCATATTTAGGCAGATACTGTCTTTAGTTTTGTTTTGACAGCTGATTGTTGTTGACGTGTTTAGCATCATGTTGAGGATGGATAAAAATGATTTTCGTTTTCTCATAAAACATTATT